ATTCTAGTAGAATATACAAAAGAATACTAATCTACTGTCTGAAATGTAATAGACAGAAAAATATAACAAAAGGAAGACTTCGGCTACTGTAGTACGGCTCGGAAGGGTAGCTTACCGTGTAGTCTCGAAGCGGGGATCAAATATGCGCGCCGGACTCGTAACCAGATGTACTCGCCTCAGATCCTATACAATTAAGTACAGAAGAGTAGCATGAGTACATAAACAATATGTACCCAGTAAGTATCCAGTCTAACCTCGAAGAAGTAATGACGAGGGGTCGACTTTGACACTTACTACGGGCTAACAATAATATATTAAATTTTATACTAAGCATGGATTTCATGAATAATATCGAAAGCTCAATAACAGGAAATAAAAAATTCTTCCTTCACAAATATTAAATCCCAAATTTAGTTTCATCATTAACAGCTTGCATTTCAAGACATTTAAGCAATATCAATTATGAATAGTTCCAAAGAGATTTTCATGCGCAAATTATGTCGAGGTCGTACGGCCTGGTCCAACATAATATTTAAACTGTGCACTGCCGAGGGTCGAACGACATGAACCATAGATGCATCTATCTGCTACCGAGGTGTTCGTCCCGCTCTACAAATAGAAAACATTTCAAATAAAACACATATTCTCATATATAGTCAAGTGTCTCATTCGTAACTTCAAGTAAGTAAATTTTACCTTTTATAATTCTCTTATCATTTCCAATATGACTTAAGCAATTAAATCAACAAGTAGGGTGCAAACATTTCAAATAAAGCATGGTACGGGTCCTAGACTACCCGGACAATAGCATAATAGTAGCTACGTACGGACTCTCGGCACCTCGTACGTACGTAGCCCCTATAAATAGGTACACATATTTATTTAATTCACCTATTGGGTTAATTTCCTCTTACAAGGTTAGAAAAGAGACTTACCCCGTCTCAAGGCCTACTTCCCGGTTCAAGAATGTGCTCAAACCTCCAAATTTGGTGCGAAACGACTCGAAACTAGTCAAATATTATATAAATTAATCAATTTATGCTCAAAAGTTCATATTCCCATTATTAAAGTGATTACCCAACCCTATATGCAAGATTCCTAAAATTTACTCTCGGGCTCACGTGCCTGAATTCCAGAAATGTTCTAAGAAAGTTGTTACCCATAACCTTAGGAACATAAATATATGATTTTTACTAAGTTCTGTAACCAATTTCGTGGTCAGATTTCATTTTAATCAAAAACCTAGGTTTTCATTAAACCCTTGATTTTCACTAATTTTTACATGTTAATCTACCCATAATCTATATATTAACTCATGTTGTGTAGAAATTACTTACCTCAAAGTGCTTGGTGAAAACCCTCTTCCAAAAGCTCCAAAAATCGCCCAAGAGATGAAGTGAAATGAGATAAATGGTCGAAGTCCTGCATTAAATGAGCTGGGCACATGTCTTTGATGTTCGCAAATGCGACCAATACCTTGCAAATGCGGACCCTTGGCTTCAACTGCTGAGGTCGCAAATGCGACGGAGGGGTCGCAAATGCAAATACTGCTGAGGTCCCAAATGCGGCTCAGGTGTCGCAAATGCGAACACTGCCCAGGTTTAACTTCTTTGCAAATGCGAAGCTTTTCTCGAAAATGCGAGGTTCGCATTTGCAAACAATTTCTCGTATTTGCTAGACCTGCAACTACTGCCAAGAAATACCAGAAAACTGTGTGTTTTCTTACCCTTCCGAACGTCCAAAACTCACTCGAGCCCTCGGGGCTCCACACCAACCACCCACACAGGTCTAACAATATCATACAAACTTGCTCACGCGATCGAAACACTGAAATAACATCAAAAAATCACGAATCGAATGCCAAAACGAATGGATTAACTTATGAACTCAAAAACTTCTAAAAACACTTCCGCGCGTCCGATTCTTATCAAATCAACTCGAAATGACGCCAAATTTGGCGTCCAAGTCTTAAATGACATTACGGACCTACTCCAACTTCCCAAACTGGAATCCGAACCCGATACCAAAAATTCCACCCTCGGTCAAACTTTCCAAAACTTCAAATTTCTAACTTTCGCCAAATGACCCCGAAACGACCTATGGACCTCCAATCCACTTTCAGACGCGCTCCTAACTCCAGAATCACCATACGGAGCTATTCCCATGCCCGGAATCTCAAACGGACGTTTAGAATGTAAAAATCCATTTCAACCCAAACTTATAGAATTTACTCAAAATGCCAACTTTCACTATTAGGCGCCGAAATGCTTCTGAGTAGTCCAAAACCCGATCCGAATATACGCCCAAGTCCGAAATTATCATACGAACCTATTGGAACCGTCAAATCCCGATTCCGAGATCGTTTACTCAAAATGTTAACCGATGTCAAATTTAGCCTTTTAAGCCAACTTAAGGAACCAAGTGTTCCGATTTCAACCCGAACTCTTCCAAATCTCGAACTAACCATCCCCGCAAGTCATAAAACTGTAAAAGCACGTACGAAAAGTCTTATTTAGATAATAGAGTTCTAGAAAGCAAAATGATCGGTCGGGTCGTTACCGTTACTGTGTAAACGCTGGAAGAGGAGTTTAACCTAACCTTAAAGAATTGGCAACTATTTCGTAAAAATCAAAAGAAAGGTGGATCAATATAGTTCAAACTTCAAACCAGCAGAATCATTAAATTTCTCTAAAAAGTTCGTCATTATGCCTGAGCTTTACCGAAATTCCATCACAATTTAATGCATTTGGGGACTGATTAATATAAGAATCCCCAAGAATACACCTCCAACATACGGTTTTTTAGATCTATCTACATAAAATTAAGGAACATGGCGAAAAAGCCAAAAAAAAATTACTTAAGCAAGTCCTCTTAGTCCCAAGATAATTACTCCCTCCGTAATAATTTATGTGAATTTGTTTGACTGGGCACAAAGTTTAAGAAAAAATGAAGACTTTTAGAACTTGTGGTCCTAAATAAGTGAAAAAGTGGCCAAAGTATTTGTGTGGTTATAAAAGCTTCTCATTAAGGATAGAATTGTAAGTTTAAGCTAAATTGTTACCAAATTTAGAAAGAGGTCATTCTTTTTGGAACGAACCAAAAAGGAAATTGGTTCACGTAAACTGGAACAGAGGAGTATTTTATTTAAATTGTCTCATTTTTGTAACCCATCAACTATGTTTTAACCACAAGTTAGCTTTGGATCAGCTATATAAATCACTTACATCCCTTTATACTAGGGTCAATATCATTCAAATACTACAGGGAGAAATTCAAAAATAGCCATATTTATAACTGGTCGTTCAAAAATAGCCCAGTTTCAAAAGTAATCGAAATTTAGCCACTTTTCATGTAAAGATAAATCTGAGCGAAAACACTGTTCAAAACCCGAAAAATACGCCAGTATATTAAATTGGAGTTCCAGCATAAGTATGCTTGAACTCCAGCATTTTATACTGGAGTTCTAGGATAAGTATGCTGGAACTCCAGCATAATATACTGGAGTTCGGTGCACCTGTGTATGAACTCCAGCATATTATGCTGGACCGGTCTCTATTGCAGCAAAATAGTGGCTATTTTTCATTGACTTCGTAAACGCTGGCTATTTTTGAGTGACCAGTCCCAGAACTGGCTATACCATGTTATTTTTACAATATAGTACAAGCAATAGATTTTAGGGGTATTATCAATTTTAGCCCACGCCAGAAACTATTTATATATGGTAGCCGCAAAAGTGTATAAAATTTGTATATAATATACAAAATATATACAAATTTTATACATTTTTCGAGTATTATTTTTACAGCAGCTATACAATATCATTTTTCTAGAGTTTAAGTATCATAAAGTTTTTATGGGATGACTTTTTCGAAATATAGATGTAGAAAATATGCTTATGTTTCTTAACAAATTCTAAATAACTTATATTTACCTTCTTTTTTTTAATATTCTTGTGAATTGAAATTGTGACAAGCTAGTGAAATTGAGAGAGAATTAAATATAGAAGTTCTTTATTTTCACACCTAAAATCTTTTTTATTATGTCAAAGCGCATTACGTGTAAAACATTAAAACCAATTAATTTCTCATCTACCTCCTGACACGTAAGTTTACCTGTCTCATTCATCATGTCATATTACTGGAAAGGACAAGTTGTTATTTTTACCAGAAATTTGAGATTCTAATTTTATTTTATTTTTTTGGTTTATCAATGTTTGGATCATTGCATGCCAAACAAACAAGTGGCCATTGTATAATTCTTGATCTAAATAGTAGGAAATTCCAGTTGAATAGTGAGGACAACAAGCCGGTCCTAGAAAATGACCTGTCATAATATATTTTGATGGAAGTTTGTGAAGAAAAAGGAAAAACAATATTATTTGACAACATTTTGCTGTCAAATAATTTTGTTAATCTAACATGGTGTCTCAAATTTCTTAATCAAAGTCAATCAGTTTCCTTGTTTTCAAAACTTTCTCTTTATGCAGTTGGCTAAATAATCAAAAGGAAAATACCCTAAAAAAATGTTAGACGCAGAAATTTGTGATTAAATGTATAGTACCCCTCATAGTTTAAGCTTTTCACTTTTGGCACTTTAAACTTTAGTCCCTTTTTTTTTTTTGACATTTTCAAATGTTTGTTTGTAGAAATTAAGGAAATATTTTCAATAGGATAATCCCCTGTTGGCCAATATGTGAAGACACATCTAACTATGATACAAAAAACAATATGGTGCAATAAGAAGTGCAAAAGGTACAAATATGATTAGTTGAAAAGACGTAAGGAATTGGTTTGACATGATATAAAAGATTTTGTTAAGATCTTCCAAAAATATATTTTCGGATAAAAATGTTTGAAAAATAGTTGAAATTAACTAGGGTTTGAAGGGAGCTATGTAAGGCAACCTAGTTAAGTTAGCTAGGACTCTAGTAGGTCTGTAATTATGCTTAAACCTAACTCTAGTAGGCTTGTATCTATCCTTAGCTGTTTGTGATAAAGTTGTAAAGTTGTAATACATATAACTTCATTAGAATACATGTAACAGCCAAATACCTATTGTAGGACTCTCTATTAAGTCCATCTCTACGTATATATATTCCCCTTTGTATCAGCAAGCAAGAGCAACGATTGAGAAACAGAAAATACAAGAAACAGTGTGTTCTAAGCCATATTTTCTTTATGGTATCAAAGCACTAGGCTGAAAACCAATGATCCTGAAGTTCCCTTCCTCGCAAAACAACCATGGTTGTTTCTTCTAGCATAACCCTAGCCCTCGCACCTTCTTAACTTCACCAACTCATCTCGATCTGTCTCTTTAAACTAAAACTATCAAATTACCTTGTTTGGAGGACACAAATCGTTCAACTTATGCAGACTTTAAAAGTCCACAAGATCGTTAAAGAGGAGCCCCCATCCGAGAACATACAGGATGAGAAAGGAGATGTCAATTCAAACCCAAAATTCACTGAATGGAAAGAATGTGAAGTTCTTGTTAGGAGTTGACTCTCCACAACCACAACAACGACAGACGTGTCGATGTTCCTCATCATTGGTTGCTCTACTGCAGGAAAAATATGGAGTTGCCTTGAGGATACATATCTACAAGCGAGCAAAGACAAGGAATTTCAGTTGAAGCAACAACTTCAAACTGTGAAACTAGGGTCCAAATCGATTGTTGAATACATAAAGGAGTTTAAGGAAATCTGTGATAGCCTCATGGCTATTCAAAAACCATTGGATGAAGATAGAAAAGTAATTAACTTTGCTAGAGGTCTTGGTAGTAAATACAAGACCATTCGCACTGTGATGCTTGGTAAAGCACCATATCCCAACTTTAATCAGTTTATAAATGCCCTTAGAGGTTTTGAGATAAGGGAAGATTGAGAGGAGCAAGTGACACAGGCAAATCTTGACTCAGCCGTAGCTTTTATGGGACAGAGAACACAAGGACGAGGTCGAAGCAATTCTTTTAGAGAAAGAGGAAACCAAAGAGGAAGAGGAAATAGAGGAGGTTTTAACCAAAGGCCATTCAATACACAATTTTGACCAAGTCAACCGAAGGAAAACTCCAAAAATAATCCTTGTCAAATTTGTGGAAGGAACAACCATATGACACTTCTTTATTTTTATAGATGGGATTACTCCTATCAAGCACAACAAGAGGTTCCACAAGCTTTATTATCTATGACGCTTTCCGATCAACATGATAGTCATCTTTACATGGATTCATAAACTACCAACCACATGGTGAACTCTTCAGGTATACCTACAAATCCTTCTCAATTCAATGGAACTGATCTCGTCATGATAGGTAATGGTGATAAATTACCTATCACACACATGGGAGACAAAAATATTGGGAAGAACCTACATTTAAAGAATGTTTTTGTTGTGCCCAGACTCAAGAAAAACCTTATTTCTGTTAGTAAACTTGTTATTGATAATCTTTGCTCTCTCGAGTTCACTAACAAAGGTTTTTCTGTTAAGGACAGGAAAATGGGAAAAGTTCTGGCAAAAGGGAATAGAAGTCATGACTTGTACGCCCTGGAAGGAAATTTACATAAGGCATTAACAACTACAAGAGCAGAGAAGAATTCAAAAACAATATGGCATCAAAGATTAGGACATCCACAATAAAAAATTCTTAGCTTTTTACATAGCAATAAAATGATTGATGTTAAAAGATGGAATAAAATTTTTCTGTTTGCTCTAGTTGTCAAATGGGCAAATGTTGTAAGTTACCCTTTCAAGTGTCGAATAAAAGAGAAATTGAGGCATTGGCAAAAATGTATAATGATTTATGGGGTCCTGCTCCGGTTGCATCATCTCAAAAAATTAAATATTATGTTATATTTATTGATGACTGCACTAGATTCACTTGGTCTTACGCTCTGAAAAGAAAATCTGATTTTCTATTTATTGTTATAGTTTTCCAAAAATTGGTAGAAAATCAGTTTTCGAGAAAACTCAAGGTCTTTCAGTCTGATGGTGGAGCAGAGTTTAATAGCCTAGAATTCATTGATCACTTGGCTTAAAATGGTGTCAAAAGACAGATTTCATGTCCGCATACTGCAGAACAAAATAGATTCGTAGAGAGGAAACACAGGCACATTGTTAAAACGGGTCTAACTTTGTTATTCAATGAAAACTTGCCATTATTCCTTTGGGTTGAAGCCTTTATGACTACAGCTTTTCTAATTAACATGATGCCTACCTCTACTTTGAGCATGCCATCCCCGTTCTCTAAATTGTTTCGTCAAAAACTTGATTACAATTCCCTAAAAGTGTTTGGGTGCAGATGTTTTTCTTATCTGAAAGGGCAAAATAAGAACAAGTTCCAACCAAAAATATTTCCATGTGTGTTCATAGGTTATAACCTATTCCACAAAGGGTTTAGATGTTATCATCCTCCGTTAAAGAAGGTTTTCATATCACGCCATATTATTTTTGATAAACTCAAGTTACCCTATGTGTCCTCTACTAATGATTTTTTTGCAGAATCAAGTAACATTTAGTTTACTACATTCCAGGAGTTCATACAGAAGCACTATGACCAATGTGCTATTGGAACACTTGAAGCTACAGAAACATCCTGTGATACCCCATCCCAGGAAGACTTAACGGCCATTGTCCAGCCTGCCCCCACAGTCCATATCATATCTCCTGAACTTTTAGAAGTGTCTTCGGATACCTCTGACATATCCACACCAGGTTCTAATAATTCCAATCCTAGCAACCCTTCATCTCTTTCTAGTCCAGTAGCCATACCAACACTACTAGAATTCCTGTAAAAAGCGACCAAAAATTAGCGACCAAATTTGGTCTGTCAAGAAAAGCGACCAAAGTTGGTCGCCAAACTGCCGAAAATAATAAAAAAAATATTTGAAATACTTTAGCGACCAAAGTTGGTCGCTATTTGGCCGCAAATTTAGTCAAATTGTTGACTGGACTGGTCAGACTTGCTTGGTCAAATATATACTGAGATTAGCGATCAATATTGGTCGCTAAAGTGGGACCCACATTAAATTTGTTAATAATTTTATTATTATTTTATAAAACTTATAAAATATAAATATATATAATTTAAAACTTGCGACCAACATTGGTCGCTAATTGAAGGATAAGTTGATAGCAACCAACATTGGTCGCTAACATGGGACCCAGTTATAATATTTTAATAAATATATATTTATTTAA